CTAACTTGAAGGAGCATGTGTTGTTCTGTTACAGAAGGTCAAAGTTGCCAGAATTCAAAATTTGTATAAGCGGAAAAGGGAAGAAAAAAAAAAAAAAAAAAAAAAAACAGACATCTAGTTTTATATGCATTTAATAGTTTACCAATTGGTACAATAAGATTCTTTAATATGCAGAAAAAACGAATAAATTTTGTTTTACACAGTCTGAGAGCAACAAATCTTACTGTAAAACACAGAGCAGTATTATATACATTCCTTTACTGATTTTTAGAATCGTCCTTTAATTGTGTCACTTTCTTCTCTGTTAACGCTTACAGTCTAAGAAAAAAAAGTTTCCTCCAAAATAAACCTTTCCGTTTTTCTTCCGAAAATGGACACTTTCTGTCATGTCCGTGTCAAGGGTCTACTAGACTGAAGAAACGGTTCTTCGAGAAAGGTGAGGAATGAGTGTATGTGCATGGGGAAGGGGGAGTGGGAACAATGTCAGCTTGGAGAACAAAGTAGCCACTTACATGATAGTGTGGAACAGCTAAAAAAGGGTTGTTTAGAGAAGTTTCAGTTGTGACTTGTAAATCCAAAAGCTTGGCTTCAGTGAGGAAAAACTTCTCAGAATTTACAAGTTAACATCTGTGTAAGTATTAATGTATTAACTAGAGCTACCATTTGACAGATCTTGTAAGTGCCTGTTAATATATATATTCATTATTTTTCCTTATGACCAGGATTATCAAGTCACCACCGAACAATAAAATAATATAGTATGTTTAAACATCCCATGTTGAGGGCACTGGCAGATTGCAAGGTAAAGATTTCAATCACCAGAAGGTTTCACATAAAGCAGAGAAGAGGCAATCAGGGATAAGCAGGGTCTGACAATAATAGACTGGGCTTTGTGGGTCTAGAGTCCGCTTTAGAATCTACAGTGCTCCACGACCCTGGACAACTTGCTAGTAACTAGTTACTGTTTGATTAGTGCCTGGGCACGTCATTGGTCACACCACACAAAAGCAGGACGGCTTAATCTTCTAAAGTGCAAGATGCTAATAGACAGCAACAGTTTCTCACTCAACCACCCCACATTCTGGTTATGTTAGAGCGACACATTTGCACTTTTCAAGCTAAACTGAAGAATAGGCAACAGAAGCATCCACCGAACAGGAGGCAGGTTTGTGAATGTTGCCTATTGCTGGCTTGCATGACCATGGGCATCTTCAAAGTGGTCACTGTAGAGGCACCAACAGCACAAAGTTCAGCGTTGCTGCAAGATAATAGTGATACACTGCTCCAAAGTACATGGAGTCCTTTTCTGTTCCACAGAAGTGTGTAGTGCAAAAGCAATTTTCACTAATAAATAGGTGTCAAAGCTTTATCCAGCTATGCTGTGCTAAATTTCAAGTTTGAGTTATAATGCCTGTGATTCTGACACCCATCCTTTCCCCCAGCGCCATTTGGCTGTTGAATGCCTTTGGTTGCCAAGGTTGGTCTCCATTCTCCAGTTATGATTGCTGTTTGTAGGACAAAATATTCCATTAACCACAGGGAGCAGAGAACGACTTCTAAGTGACCCCAAAAAGCAACAATGAATGTAGTGACTACAGCTATGACATGGAACTTCCTTTTGTTTTTTAAGTTGCTAAAAGGCATTTCTGCGAGCTAAAGCCTTTGACTAAGCCTTTGCAGTATCTCTGAAAAGACAGCAACACTACAAAGCAGATCATTAATGCTTCAACATACTATACAAAATGTATCAATGTACAAGTAAAGAGGCAATAAGGCACACTCACAATTGCCCAATCACAGAGAGTTCACATGACAGCTGACCGTACACTGAACATCAGCCAAGGAGTCCATTACATAGTATGCACACCGCTGACAATTTAATGGAATTCTAGACCAAGGGATCCTTCAAGTACATGTCTAAAATGGTAGATGAGAGTAATTTGGAAAGCATGAAAAAACTTGCAAACAAAAGAAGAAAAAATGAAAAAAAAAAACCAAAACATTTGTTATACAAAATGCATTTTCTAAGACAGCACTGGTCTGAATTCTGTACTTTTTTTTTTTTTTTTTTTTTTTTTAGTAATGTAGGTAGAGTGGACCAGAATTTTAGCTACAAAACAAGTGTGGGACAAACCATAATGTGAAGGAGCTCTTGGTGTTTGGAAACAAATGGTTACTGCACAGATGTTTCAAAATAAAATTGCCTTATATTTAAAAAAAAAAAAAAAATATGGTGTAGTGTGACTTTTTTTGTATTTTTTGTTTTTACTTTTTTTTAAATATAACTTTGCTGGATACAACAGGCCAAACACTAAACTTAAAAGCCTTTCTGCAGTTTTGGTTGTAACATTTATGTCAACTTACACTTGCGGGAAAAAAAAAAAAAAAAAAAAAAAAAAAAAAAGATATATATATAGCAGCCTGTACAGTGAACTGGACTTACCCAAAGAAAACATTCAAATTTGTGGGCACTCATAGTAATCAAACACTTCTGTGAATT